GCTCTGGTGGCGTAGTGCCTAAGGCATTTGACTGCTAACCAGAAATTTAGCAGTTCAAATCCACCAGCCACTCCGCAGAAGGAAGACTGGGCAGTCTACTTCTGCAAAGATTTACCATCTCAGAAACCCAAAGAGGGTTGCGATGAGTCGGAATCGACTCAACGGCAGTGAATTTGGTTTTGGTCTACTTTACCAAGCATGACATCCTTCTCCAGAGACTAAACCCAAAAAAAGGGAGCTCTGGTGGTGCAGCGCCTAAGGCATTTGACTGCTAACCGGAAGACTGGTGGTTCAAACCCACCAGCCACTCCTTGGAAGGACGATCGGGCAATCTACTTCTGTAGACATACTGCCTCGGAAACCCAAGGAGGGGTCACTATGAGTTGGCACCAATTTGACAACAGTGACTAATAATCCCTCCTAATAACATGTCCAAAGTACTACAATATATAGAGACTTCCTGGATGGTGCTAATGGTTAACATGTTCAGCTGCTAACCAAATGATTGGAGGTTCAAGTCCATCCAGAGGCATGGCAGAAGAAATGTCTGGTGATCTCCTGAAAAATCAGCCATTGAAAACAGTATGGAGCACAGCCCACTGACACCTATGGGGTTGCCGTGAGTCAACAGTCAAAACAGATTCGACAGCAACTGTTTCTTTAATTGGTTTGTAATATACACAACAAAGTACTGACTGCCTCTGGGTAATGGAATATGGATGGTTGTTTCCCCTCCGTACTTCCTAAATTCTCTACAAGGAGCACATCTTATGTTGATAATGACATTAACATTATAGTATAAAATGCATTGCATAGATGAAATACAATCAAATACAACTACAAAGCAGTAACCCAAGAGATCTGGGGATAAGCTTTCAATGTATTCGACCAAGGCAAGGAAATTCCAGGTGACAGTGGAATAAACATAATGCAAAAGAAAAAAAGAGAAAGAATGACAGAGGGGGAAAAAAGGCCTTCTCCGCAGGCTTCCCTTCTGTGAACAGTAGTTTCAAACAAAAACCTAGACCCTACGGAGTAACACAAAAGGAGGGTTCAGAGGAGCTGTCTTCACACCCAGGGCACAATCGCAGCCTGGGGGCCTCTCATCCCTGCCTTTAATGACAGCGCCATCAAAGTCCAGCCGTCTGGGGAAGGTATGTGAGCAGTTTTCATGTAGGATGCACTTGCACAGGATGTACTACTGATGGACTCAGATGTGTGCAGAAATCACAAACACATGGTTCCATTCTGACTTCAGGACCACAACCTTAGCCAGTACCCAGGGTACCGAATCTGCTGCCTGCCACCTTGGAAGCAGCAAATCTAGGCCATGGTAACCGCTCTTGTCTGGTGCAGGAGAAGCTGTAAGCGTGTCCATGTCTCAAGGGATCTCGGTCCAGGCAGGCAGGGAAGCACCCCTACCTAATGGAGGTGTGAAGCAGCCTTCCTGAAAACCAAAGAAGCTGCTCTTCTAGAGTTCAGCCACTTTGTGCATTCACCTAGCAAATATTTTACTGAGTTCCTACTATTTGTCGGGTACTCCCTCGATGGCACAGATGGTTACGCATTTGAATACCAACCAAAAGGTTGACAGTTCAAATCTACCCAGAAGCACCTCAGAAGAAAGACTTGGTGACCTACTTCTGAAGGACTACCCACTGAAAACCCTACGGAGCACAGTTCTACTCTGAGGTGGCCATGAGTTAGAACTGACTCAACGGCAACTTGTTTGGTTTTGGTCTTGGTGCAAGGCATCCACATTAGAATGGAACCTAAACCCTGGTCCCTGTCCTAAAAAAAAAAAAGAAAAAAATCTTAAACAAAGAATATTAACTCAGAGTATCAAAGACACACTTACTGACAAGATCTACTTCTGCTAAACCACCATACCCACCAATGATCCATTACTCAACTTATAAATTAAGCAAGTACAGAAAACAATGGACCCCTGATTAGAGTCGGAGAGAGAGCCAGCCAGCCCCCTGCCAGCTGTCCCCTTGTCTCTCTTTCTCTCCTCGCACCATCCAGGTAATCCCTACCCACCACTGGGACTGGGAGCCCATTTCTTTTGTAGTCCTTTTTCTCTATTTCAGATACAGGTAAGTGAAAAGCCTGCCAGAGGGCTCCAAATTTTTAGCAACACAATCTGTGCCAGGCTGTGTCCTTTCTGCTTCTCCCCAGATGATCTGGATCAAGGGAGAGACTGAAGAGTAAGTTCAAGGATCATACTGAAAGATCCTTCAGAGAAGGACATGGAACTTTTAAAGAAACTCAAAGAGGCTGAAAAGGATTTAGCATCACCTTCAGCAGTGGTGGACTTTAATGAAATGGGGGAGTACATAATATGGACTTCGAAGCATAATTTCTATGTGTCATGTAATCATGGACTGTTGACATGGAATCTGCATGGAACAATATGTCACAGAAAATAAGGAGGCCCTCTCAGTGGAACTAAGGAGCCCTGGTGGTACAGTGATTAAGTGCTTGGCTGCTAACTGAAAGGTCAGCAGTTCTAACCCACCAGCTACTCCATAAGAGAAAAATGTGATAGTCTGCTTCTGTAAAGATTTACAACCTTGGAAACCCTACAGGGAAGTTGTACTCTGTCCTATAGGGTCCCCATAAGTTGGAATCAATGGTTCAATGGCACTAGCTGCAGTTATACAATCATAGAGAGTATTGAAAGTAACATTTGCTATGGACTGGAAAAAAATCTCGGAAGAACGTACTCAGAGATGCGAATAATAAACAAAAGGCATTTCTTGTGTGGAAACAGGCTTTAAGTGCAGAGGATCAGAACGGCAAGCAAAGGCTGAAGGCCAATCAAGGACAAAGTCTTATCAGCCAACCTTAGAAAATGCTTTTCTGCATCATCCCTGATTCCAAAAGGCTAGACCAAAATGAGCAAATGCTATTTCAAGTCAGCATAGTATTTTAACTGGAGCAGGGAATTTTAGCAAAGTGCCAATTACAAGTTGGAAGTTTCTTCCTGGTATCTTTGGCTAGAAAGCTATTTCCTACTTCTCTCAGAGGATGACAAACACAGGCTCCCAGAAATCTTATCTCTCTGCACAACTAACAGATATAGAGAAGCTCAGTGCATTCCTGCTGGAGGCTGAGCCTCATCCCTGTTCCAGGCATTTCTGCAGAACACAACCTTGCATGGGCAGTCCCAGCAAAACTTTAAAAGGCCTACACACACTTCTTTATTTAAGCTGTTTGAGCCCCAATGTATCTGCACAGCACCCAGTCCCCCAGCCCTCCAGGGTGGAGTCTGGCCTGTTCTCCAGCGGCCCCAGGAGCCTGGCACCCTGACATGGCCCTGTCTGTCTGGTCCTGCCCGCTGCAGCCACCGCCTGGCTGCCCGGAATGCAAGTGAGGTCCATTTTTAAATTCCCTCACAAGTTTCACAACCACCAGTTTGGGTGAGGAGACAAACACCCCTGCAGTTTGCTGACATTAAACTAAAAATACCCAGCTGCAAACAAAAGCCATCTTTTACAGGGCTGGCTCGGATGTCCTGAGGTTATTTGTGGTAGTGGCTGGCCAGATCCTGGCAGTGTGGTCGCCTTTACAACTGCTCCAGGCCAGGGAGGCAGAGGAACCATTCAGGTGCCTGCACGATCAAGGAATCTCCCAGCACGCGGGGCCCAGTGTGTTTGATGGAATGAACAGTTTTATTCCTCTGCCATCGACCCAAACTCCGGCTTGATGAATTCAAGGCTGTGTCTGCTTAAAGTGCTAGATATGCACTGAAAGGAAAAGGCGAGAGGAAAAAAGAAAAACACCAAACGTCGTTTCCTTGGAAGGAAACGTGTTTCTAGCTCCCTCCTCCTTGCAATTAGGAAAGCAAATTATTCCTATGACTGCACCGTGAAAGGCAACTCCGGGACATTCAAATGAGATTTCCCGGCCAACGTGGCCAGGTGAGGGACGGGGGGCAGAGACTTGGTGGAGAGACACCCCCCCCCATTACCCCGGAAGCCTCCTCCGAGGGATCTACCTGTTCGGCTCCCAAGCCCAGTTGTGAACCCCTAGGCGTCGCGCGCGCAGTCTCCCCTCCCGCTCCAGGTCCCAAACTTAACTTCGCGCCCCTCCGAAAGGCAGAGCCTCGTCCCTCCCCTAATCCAGATTTCAGATTTGGAACTCGCCTCAGCCTGGGGCGACGACGGGAGAAGGCTAGTTCCCAGACGGCCAGGGGGACTCTGGCTGCTCGGAACCCAGGAGTGGGGGATGCAACTTGGCCGTCAGGCCAGGACCCGGCCAAAGTTATCTCCAAAACTGCAGTGGCCAGGAGCTTCGAGCTCCTCAGCGCTGGGTCCCTGGGGAGGTAGGGGTGTGGTGAAACAGGCCCTGATGGCACCAGCCCCAAGGTCACTACGGAGCTGGACCCCAGGGACAAACACCCAGCCGATGGTACCTTCCTAACTGGTGAAGACACAGCGCCCGGCACCCAACCTCTCCCACACCTGCTCAGCGCTGCCGGTACACGTGGGAGCCGAGCCCTACGATCCCCAGCCCACTGCGGGGACTCGCAGCCTCTCCAGGGCGTGCACCATTCGTCCCCGGCCCCCAACCAGGAAGAGGCAGCGCGCCCGGGCGCAGAGCAATCGGCTCCGGGCGCCTCTTTCATCCTCAGATGAGCAGGGAGGGAGTTTCAGTTTCTTCAAACCAACCCCCAACCCCGGCAGCTGTCCACAATCTCTACCTTTCCCTGCTACCTCACAGACAGACAGACAAGAGAGACACAAAGAAAGGGGGGGGGTGGAACTACGGCCCCTCCTGGTCCCATCCTCCAGCCCCGAACCAAGAGGAAGAGGGAGCAGATCCTTCCTCCTCCCCTTGCGGACGCGGTGGCCCGGGCAAACTCGGGCAGCAGGGAGCCCCGAGGTGGCCGAGGAGGAAGAGGTAAGGTTGGAAGAGGCAGAAACCCGGCGGAGCGAGAGCGCGAGAGAGAAGAAAATACGTATCCAACAAAACCACGCTAACGCGCCCCCTACCTGGGTGCAACATACTTTGGAAATAGAAGATGACCAGGATAAAGGATCCCAAGCAAGTGGCCAGCACCATCCGGCAAATTCTGTTCATCCTCATCACTTCCAGCAGCGCCGGCTTCATGGCTTTGTCCTGGCTGCTGGGGCCGGGGTGTCCGGGAGGCGCTCCCGGGGCGCAGGAGCCGGGACCCCGCCGCACGGACCAGAGTCCAGGAGGCGCAAGGTAGGACTGAGCAGGGCTCCGGGGCAGTGTCGGGTTGGCTTCGCGGCCGCTTTCGGAGCCCCCAGCCTCGGGCGGGGGTGTGCAAGGCGCCGGAGTTGCCCTGGAAGTGCAGAGATGCGTAGACCCAACGGCTGCGCGCTCCTGCTCCTCCTCCGCCACCTCTTGTGCTCCCGCCGGCGGCAGCCGCTGCCTCCTCGCGGTCGGAGAGCCTGGGTTGCGAGCGATGATGGTGCCGCCGCCGCTGCCGCTGCGCTGGCCGCTGTGGCTGTCGGACCGGCCCCCTCCCTCGTCTCCAAAGGCTACTTCACTGCGCTCCAATGATCTATATATTCCGGGGCTGGGTTTTACCAAATGCAACTCGCAGTCCTCCGCGAGGGGAGGGCGCCTGCGGAGAGCCAAGAGGAGGGAGGGACCCGCGCGTCGGGGCGGAGCGTCGCGCTCCCCCCGCCCCTACCCGGGATTTGGTCGCGTCCAGCTGTTTCCCGCGGAGTGCGGAGTGCGCGCCGCGCTCCCGCAGGGTCCCAAAAGCCCTCAGTCCCCTGCCGGGCTCGTCCGCCGTCTGGAGGTTGTGTCAGCGTTTCCATGACAAAACCTGGAGGAAAAATATACGAATTAAATCTCCTCGGTGCTGCCACCCACTCCTGCCAGCGTTTGGAGAGGGAAGTGGCAGGGAGCGGGTTGCCATCTCGGTGGCCGAGCGGTTCGGGTGGCACCCGTTTATTTACAATCCTTGGGCAAGGGATCAGGGAAGTTGCTCTAAGCCCCCAGGAGCGAGATGCCCCTTTCCCAACGCTCGGAACTGGGAGGTTTCGTTTTCTTTCAAACGACAGCCTAGCTTGAGTGGCGTTTTGGAAAGGGTTGAAGAGGGCTGACTTAACGTCAAGGTTAGGAAATCGGCATGCCCCGCAGGGGTCAGGCGGCAGCCGAGCTCTCCCCGGGACTTTTGCAGACGGTATCTCTGGCACCCCCCACACACCCCCTTCAACAAGGAAAAAGGAGTTGTGGGTTTTAAAACTCTAGTTCCCCTAAGGGACAGGCTTCCTCCAAATTCTCCTAAGTGCACACAAGTCTTAGCAGGGTGGATATGAGAAGATGCCCCCCCCCCCAGGTCACCAGCATCAAAATCCAACAAACTGTTGGAAAACAAAGCGAGCCATAGCATTGGCAGGTAAACGGAAAGATGGTGTTGTTTTCCTGTGTTGTGTAAAGTGATTTACAATTTCCAATTCCATGCATTTAGGTTGTCTAGCAATTAATAAAATGGACGCAGGGAAATAGTACGGCATTCATAGTCACCTACCCAGTAGTAATTGGAGATTATGCAGTCCAGTTATCTACTACCTAAGGAGTTCTGGTGGTGCAGTGGTTAAGTGCTTGGCTGCTAACTGAAAGGCGAGTGTTGGAACCCACCAGCTCCTCAGGGGGAGAAAGATGTGGCTTCCTTAAAGACTTAAGGCCTTGGAAACGCTATGGGGCAATTCTCTGACCTACAGTGTGGCTGTGAGTAGGCATGGACCCTTCGGAATGGAAGATCTTGTTCTGTGGTCTGTGGTTCTGTAATGCAAAGACACAGGGACTGTTGTATCCACAGATTTTCCTTCTAAGGTTACATGTAAAGTTTTTAAAAATTAAAACCAAAAAACCAAAGTTACTGCAGTGGAGTCGGATCCAACTCAGAGCAACCCCTCCTTGGGTTTCTGAGGCAGTACCTCTACCAAAGTAAAAGTAGATCACCCAACCTTCCTTCAGAGGAGTGGCTGGTGAGTGTGAACCTCCAGCCTTCTGGTTAGCAGTCAAATGCCTTTAGGCACTACTCCACCAGAGCTCCCAAAGAGTGTTTTAATTCCAACAATATATGTGTATTTTCCTTCTTTTTTTAAAATTGTGGTTTGGGTGAAAGTTTACAGAGCATTTTAGTTTTCCATTCACAATTTATACACATTTTGTTTGGTAACATTAGTTGCAATTCCATCAGTGTAACAGCACACTTCCCTCTTCTTTCCCTGTTGTTGTTGTTAGCTGCCATCAGTTGTCTCCAACTCATAGAGACCCTAAGCACAGCAGAACGAAACACCTCCCACACACACCCCACCCCTGGTCCTGCCCAGCTCCAGGATCCCTGCTATACTTGAGCCCATCGCAGCAGCCACCACGTCAATCCATCTCTTTGAGGGCCTTCCCCTCTTTCATCAACCCTCTACCTTACCAAGCATGACATCCTTCTCCAGGGAATGGTCCCTTCTGACAATATGACCAAAATAGGTGAGATGAAGTCTGGCCATTCTCACTTCCAAGGAGCATTCCGGATGTACTTCTCCAGGACAGACCTATTAGTTCTTTTATTAGTCCACGATACGTTCAGCATTCTTCGCCAACACCACAACTCAAAAGCATCAACTCTTCTTCAGTCTTCCTTATTCATTATCCAGCTCTCACATGCATATGAGGCGACTGAAAATACCATGGCTTGTGTCAGGCACACCTTAGTCCTCAAGGAGACATCTTCGCTCTTCAGCACTTGAAAGAGGTCCTTTGCAGCCGACTTGCCCAATGCTATAGGAGCTCTAAGTGCCTAGTACCTAAGGCACTTGACTGCTAACCAGAAGGCTGGCGGTTCAAACCCACCAGCCACTCCTCGGACGGAAGGTTGGGCCATCTACTTCCATAGTGATACCGCCTCGGAAACCCAAGGAGGGGTTGCTATGAGTCAGCACATAACAACAACAACATAACAGCACATAACAACAACAACATAAGTTGTCTGATGTCCTGACTGCTACTTCCCTTGGCGTCTATTGTAGAACCAAGCAATGTGAAGTCTCTGACAACTTCAATCTTTTGTCCATTTATTGTGATGCTGCTTATTGGTCCAGTTGTGAGGATTTTTGTTTTCTTTATATTGAAATGTAATCCATACTGCAGACTTTTCTTCAATCTTCATCAGTAAGTGCTTCAAGTCATCCTCACTTTCAGCAAGCAAAGTTGTGTCGTCAGCGTATCGCAGGTTGTTAATGATTCTTCCTCCAATCCTGATGCCATGTTCTTCTTCATATGGTCCAGCTTCTCGGATTATCTGCTCAGCATATAGACTGAATAAGTGTGGTGAAAGGATTCAACCCTGACACGCTCCCTTCTTGATTTAAAAGCTAAAAGAGCTCTGTAACACTTCCCAGAGCAGGGCAGGGTCCAAGCCAAAAGGCCCAGGGCCAGAGAGGTGTGCCTGAAGGTATAGCAGAGGAGACACTGTCCTGATTGAGGAATTGTATCCTGAGGGCATTCCCAAACCTGAATTGTAACCTGTTACTTCCCTAACAAACCCCATAATCATGAGGAAAAAGGAAAAAAACTCCATGGGGAAGTTCTACTCTGTCACAGGGGGTGACTTTGAGTTTGAATGGACTAGATGGCACCTAATAACTACATCCAATTATCACTACTGTTAACTCAATTAGTAGTGAAATAGTGTGGCTTTGAATGCCTCTCACAAAGTAAGCATTTGATAATACTTATTGAATCTGAATGTAATGGGCTTCATCCTCCCCTATGGTGCACAGACAAACTGGCAGTCAGATGCGTGCAGCAAAAGCCACTCCACAAACTCAGCTCCCCTCCCCGCACCATTCGCCCAGCAGTGGCATGAAGGGAAAGTAAAGAAGTCAACAGCCTTGCCTTTGATTACAGAAGACGATCAATTACAGCACAATATTTATGTAGCAGGCTTGTACAGTATTAATTTGTACTCACTTGTGGATGAGTTGCTTGCTCCAGGCAGCCAAGTTGAACCAGCTCCAGTACAAAGTCATTCTCCAGTGATTTTGACACACAGGAGACGGGGACGGGAGCTGCACCCCCCAGCACCTGCAAGGCAGAGGAGAATGCCTGGGTGAGCACTTGCAGGCCTCCTTTGTCTAGAATGTCGGGCTGTCATTTAACTCCTGGTTTTACAGAGCAAAACTGCACAGGGAGAGGGAAGGGATTGCCCCCAGTTCACCCCACTGGCCTCCTGCTTCCGAGGGCACAAATCACACTGCTGCCCGTGCAAAGGGCCAAACATGCACAAGGCAGCCGGGGGAGTTATGGGGCCAAGGGAGAGGTCAGAGGCCTAATTCCTAATCACTGTTAGGGATTGCATTGTGTCCCCTAAAACATGGATGGAGTCCTGACCCACTATACCTGGGGATGTAAAATCCCATTTGAAAATATGTCTTTCTTTGTTATGTTAACGAGGCCATATCCATGTCCTAAACCTACTCCCTTCTGGGTGATATAAGGAGCAGTCTACACAGAAATGATGGCCACACTTACTTTGGTCATATTGTCAGAAGGGATCATTCTCTGGAGAAGGATATCATGCTTGGTAAAGTGGAGGGTCAATGAAAAATGAGATGGACTGACACAGTGGCTACAGTGATGGGCTCAGGTACAGCAGGGATTGTGAGGCTGGCACAGGACCAAGCAGTGTTTCGTTCTTGTGTCAGGCGCACCTTAGTCCTCAAGGAGACTCATAGGGTCGCTATGAGTTGGAAACAACTCGACGGCACCTAACAACAACAACACACAAATAAGCTAGCACTAATGGGGAAAGACGGATGCCACGTGAAGATCACCAAGGAACTGCGGAGCAGAAGCTGAGACAAGGATTTGCCCCCAAGACAGACAGGATTTTCTGTGAGAGCCAGTGCTCTGAATTCAGACTTACAGACTCCTGAACTATGAGAAAATACATTTCTGTTCTTTACCAGCACCCATTTGTGGTATTTTTGTTACAGCAGCTCTGACAAACTAAGATAGTCGTGGAGGATTGAGTTGGCTCCACATGGTGGGGGAGGATGGTGGGCATGCCCAGCATCCATTTTTGCATTCCCACAATCAGAAATCAACCCATGCATAATGTGGAGTGAGGCTCTTACTGGTAAAAATATCACCTCTTCCTGGAAGCCTTCCCTGATTACTCAGCTGAAAGTTGCCTCTTTCTTCCTCTGTGCTCTGAGCACTAGCTCTGAACTCCTCTTGGGTTACTTTGCACAGTAGGCTGAGCTCCTTCCCGGAGGACCAAGTTTTATTCATCACAGTCTCTTCCTAGTGCCTGGAACAATAACTGGCACATGATCAGCACAAATAAGTAAGTGGTGGAGAAGTGCTGTCTTCTTGAGTTTGGAAGTTCCATTTGTTGTTGTTACTGTCAGCTCTGACTCATGGTGACCTTGGTATAATCATGAAATGTTGCCTGGTCCTGTGCCGTCTTCATGATCATTGGTTGCTTGAGGCCGTTGTGTGGCTATTGTTTTGTGATGCTTTTTTAACATCTTATTGTGGTTTGGG